TCACAGGGCCATATGATTTTTCTATAATTTTCTATGAATATTACAACACTGCATATCTGTGCAACTAATTCTGACCTATCAGTGAAAATGATGCTTTTACCCTTGGTTAAACACAACATCAGGTCCTGGGAGAAATCAGGGGACAAACTAGACTCAAAATTTAAACTTTGAGAGTTTACGTATCCTAAATCCGACTTCCGATGATTTTTCTATATTTTTTACAAAACAGGGGCAGAATAGACATTTTTCTACGATTCCTAGCTTTGAGTTTTAAGGGTTAGTTGACAACTTAACCCATTAATTGTGACATTCCCAAAGTTTATTTATAAATGCAAAATTTTTCCCATAAAAAGTATTTCCGAAGAAATATTTTCCGTTGATCCATTAAAATTTGGGATGTCATAACTGATACAAAACATAAGCAAAAATAGGCCTTACGGTGTCTTAGACTAATAGCCTACATCTCCTTGAATCTCTCATCATTCATGTACCTTTGTACCGCTACCTGTGATACAAAGAAAATGAGTGGGCCAGGCTGGGAAACCTGGTGAGTACATAGCGTTTTCAATCCCACAATGTTTTATATATATATATATATATATATATATATATATATATATATGTGTGTGTGTGTGTGTGTGTTTGTGTGTGTGTATCTTAAAATATGTAATATACAAATACACCTCATATAAGTAATATACTTCATCTCGTCGTTCCTCACATTTTAATCGTATACAACGACATAATCCATACTCTCAGATTTAGAAATGAATGGATTTACCTAATCCATACCCTCGGATCAGGAATAAATGACTATATCTAATCTATACTCGCGGATCAAGAATGAATGACTATATCTAATCCATACTCTCGGATCAGGAATGAACGAATATATTTAATTCATACTCTCCGATCTAGAATGGATGACTATATCTAATCCATACTCTCGGATCAAGTATGAATGACTATATCTACTACATACACTCAGATCAGGAATGAGTGACTATGTCTAATCCATACTCTAGGACCAATGACAAATGAATATGCCCAATCCATACTCTCAGACTAGGGACGAATGACTATGCCTAATCCATACTCTAGGACTAGAGACAAATGACTATGCCTAATCCATACTCTCGGACTAGGGATGTCAGAATTCTACTTTGCATTCATGACTCACATATACTCTTAAGAAGATGCTACCCATTATCCAACTTAATTTAACTTAATCCTATTTTTCTAGTCTTATATTATCTCTTGGTAAGACTACCATGCTCAACTCCTAATACCAGCTCTGTTTAGACAACACTCTCCTACTTTAGTGTATACAAAGTATTTAGGTAATAATAAACCTTTATACTTCTCTCTAATGATACTTCTATTATTATTATCATGAAGTAATAGATATATATCTTAACACATATAGAACCATACTTGGTTTGCATATCATATATATTATCAAATATGTTCTTAACACATATTCCAGGCAATAAGCATATATCCTACATATAAACTCTTTAATAGATATTTAATAATTTAATTAATACTTGTATTAAAATCATGTTCATGAAAGGGACTATGCACTCACTTGATAAAAGTGAATGCCTTGAAATTTGGGCAAAACTTCGCCTTGGTATTTTATCTTTTCCTCTAAGGCGACCTAGGTATGAATATCACTAAGTCTTAGTCTTGCATTTTTGGTGACTAATGATAGTATAGATTTCTCACTAATCCTAATGTCTATATCATAATCTATCAAGTAAGGATCAGCGAGGTAGGATCATTTCGGCATATAGATTTTCTGAAATCCTACAACACGATAACGTGACTGGGAATTACTGATAAATCTTATTTATAGGTTCATAATGATGACTTACGACTATAAATATAAGTTACACTAAAAGCAAAAGAGTGTAGCATAACTTAAAGAGGTTTTAGCGGAAACCAAGAAAACGCACGGACAGGACTCCGAAACTGAAAGCTTATGTTTTTCGGACAGCTTGACCCCTCAAAACCTTACTAAATACCCCTAAGAACCTAAAAAAATCGAACTCAAGAAAAGATAATATCTCAGAGAGAAAGTGGATGGAATTTGGTGTGAAAAGAAATCATAAATTACAAGGAATTTATAGGAACAGAGTGGTACCATGCGCATGGCCTACAGGCGCACCTCGCACAATGGCCTTGCTGGCTCCTATTTGCCACGTGTCGAGCTCATGTTTACCCACATCCTACCCTTCTAGAAAGTTCCACGTGGCCAAATCTCATGGATCCATGTATCCTCACCGTGTGGCGCCATGTCACCTTGACTCTTGGAGGAGGGGGCGACCAACTTGCCACGTAGTGTACTCCGGTGCTGCCACGTCATCAGCACAACAATTTTCTTGCAAATCTTCGGACGATCATAACATTCACATACGAGCTCTATTTTCGACGTTCTTTATATCCTCATAATTCTCTCTTCGAGCTCTACAACTTTCATTAAGGTCTCAACATCTAATTCTTGCTCTAACAAAAATTCATATTTAGACCGGTTTACACTGTTAAAGTCCGTGCGAAATTCATAACTTATTCATACAAACTCCCTTATCGATTGTCCTTTTATCGATGGGTTTATATTCACGAGATCTTCAATTCTCGTTTATATTGTTTTAGCTAACATACAACCGATTAGAATTTCGATCTCTGTGCCCGTACTGCTATTCCGAAACTTTGAAAAATCATAATTTCTTCTCATGAAGTCAGATTTGGACGTTCTTTATATGCACACTCTCGATTTAACGACTACTACTAATTTTGTTTAGATCTCTTTGGCTAAAAATTAATTTATCAAAAATTCACTTTTTACAATACATAGAGTTGTGCCGGTTTAGTCGCGAAGCTTCAAAGAAGCATAACTACTTCATAACCAAAAATGACTATAAAGATGGAAATTGGGTTCTTACTCAATTGCACATAAACCAAATCAATTGCACAATTATCTACGTTGTGCCCCAATTAGAAGAATCATAGTCTCCTGATCTTATTAAAATAAATTATAAGAAGAATAAACAACATTGAGTATTTATCACACATATTAATCTATAAAAGTCACCTTCAAATCAAAATATGTTGGATTTACACCACCCACTAGCCTACTAAAGCATGGTAAAAGTATACGCATTTGACAGTAGGAAGGTTCTGATTGCATTCTTTTCTTTGTTAAGGGGGATTTTGAGATAAGGGATTCTTGACTACCACACCTACACCCCAATTCAACAGAACCTTAAAATTGAGAGTAAAAACAACAAAATTCACGTTAATAGGAAAAGTAAAGAGTCAATTTGCAGGCTAAAGAAAAAGGGTAAACAACCTTAACCCATAAAGGAAAAGCCGAACTTGTGTTAATTTATGAAATTTGAATGGGAATTTAGGGAAAACTTACTGTAGGCAGCACAAGTTTTGAGTTGCTCAAGAAAGGAGATACTCGAAGCATTTCTAGAGGAAAACTAAACGACAATATCTAGGTTTCACCAAAATCGAGTACAGATTCTGGGGGATCCTTGATGACACTACTAGAAAAACAGCCTTTTACGACGCACAATGCGTGTCGTAAAACGCTCAGACGACGCGCAAATGCATGTCAAGGAAGACCCTGTCATAACGAGAGACGACACGCTTTTGCGAGTCGTCTATTTACGACGCGCAGTTACGACACGCATTTACGACGCGCATTTACGACACGCAATGTGTATCAAGGAAGGCCCTTTCATAAAGAAAGACGACACGCATTTGCGTGTCATAACCTTACGACGCGCGTTTAGGACACGCATTGCGTATCATTAAATCCCCTGTCATAAATGAAGATGACACGTATTTGCGTGTCATAATTTTAAATGTTTTAAAAAAATATATACATTTTTGATAGAATTACTAATTTTTAAATTAAACAACAGATTGAAATTATCATAATACAAAATAAAATACCATACATAAGAACGATAATTCATTTCAAAAAAAATATCACATGTCAAACAAGTAAGTTACCTAACATTACATGTCAAACAACACTACATGTCAACACTAATAACACTTAAAAACATGTTTTTTCCTGCATTTGGAGCACCCACTATTCCTATATCAGCAAACAACTTTAGGTCCAATTCTAACCATCTGTAAAAGAACAATATTGTAAAAGAACAACATTAGAAAGTTAATTAATATATACTAGTACAACATGTATGAATAAGTGCCTTAGTTTATCTACTTTATATGTAATTTCTCATCAATAACAGGTCTTGTTGTTGAGTAATTCCCATGATGCCCTTGGTAGAAGTTTTACATTTGATCCATGTAAGTCTAATCAATGGCAGGTCTTAGGAATGAACCACAAACAAACCTAAGAACAGAAACAATTGATTAAGGACTAGATTCCCTTCCTAAACCTGTTTGTTGTAATAGAATAATTCCAGAAGCCAGCATAAGAAAACATCCAAAGTCAAAAATATCCGTTGCTGAAAGCGACTTCAACTGCCTGTCAAAACAATAAAAGGTTGGTTGTTTTCTAGATTATCAAACTATTTAGTGTTTCTTTTAGCATGCATGCAATGAATAACATTGAAAACCAAACCAAACCAAAAAGAGCCCAAGTCAAAAAACGCATGACATCAACATATAAGGACTGCTTACTATTTTCGTTCAGATACCTTCAACAAATTCAACCAATATATATTATCAAATTGATCATTATTCTCTACTTTTGTTGAACCAATGTTATCAAGATTCAAATCTATAGAGCACCCATGTCTTAGACACGTGAAGCGATCTAGCAAGCATGTACAGGTGGCTGCTGACATGTGCAAGTCATAAAAACATAGATAACATTCTTTTTCATTAGTTGTATCAAAGTCATCTTCCATTTTTTGAAGCTGAAAACTGGTTTGAAGGTGCTGGATCCTTTTTAGCTGGATTTCAACTCTCCATTGAAATTATTATATTAAAAGAACATTAGAAAACAACAATTAAATAAATAAATAAAGTTTTTTTTTTATCTTGACAGCATTGGTGAGTATCCCATTCTTCCCACAAACATGTTTCCAATATAAATTCTCGGAAGTTTCTTTATTCAAAAATGAAACTTCCCATAAAGCCCTAATCCCTTCTCTAGCTGCTGCTAATAAAAACTTATCATGAGATATTGATGTTTTGCGTCTTTGCTGACTGTACACCTCGACTACACCTTGTCCATGTTCCAGCCAATCAACAGGCACCACATTGACAACCTCCACACAGTTAAAACCACAACAGAATCCCACATGATATGCCCTTGGAAAAGTAACAATAAACTCTCCACAACACTGAGAAGCTCGATAAACCGGGACCCCTTTAGACTTCAAAATTTTAGGGCTCAATTGAGTAATCTGTTAAGATTAAAGCGTTTATTCATTATCCAACACTTTATCTAGACACTACTTATTGGGAAAAAATGAAATCTTACGAGTTGATGGAGTAGATCTGCTTGTTCCTTAAATAAATCAGATTGATCCTTCCTCATTGTATCTTCCAAGGCATTCGCATGGCTTTCGGGGTACTCCATACCACATATTATGGTCGCGCCAATGCATATAGTTTACCGAATAAAGGTGGTGATCTTCAACATGCTTTTCCAAAAACAAATAAAAATATAAATACACATAAACAAAAAAGAAAAAAGAAAAAAAAAGTATAGCTGAAGTTATTGGTGGCCCACAACTTAAGCATATAAGGGACTCAAAATTCTTACTTTCTATCTATGTAGGAGTAAAATTACATTTTTGGTCCCTGTGTATAGCTGAGTTTTGTAATTTTTGTCCCAAAAAGCTTTTTCTTGACTTTTGGTCCTTATTTAAGGTTCTTGTAACGGCTTTGGTCCCTGTTCCAAGTAAAATGACTATTTTTTGTCCCTAAGATAGCTGATTGTTTCAGTTTTGGTCCAAAAAACAGTCATTCTACTTGAACAGGGACGAAAAACATTATAAAGACCTAAATAAGGAGCAGAATTACAAGAGAAAACTTTTTGGGACCAAAATTGACAAAATCAACAATAATCAGGGAGCAATAATGTAATTTACTCAAAATGTAAATTAAAACTTTAGAGAGCTTCTGATAATAACAAATTTCAAAGTTCAAATACACATCAATATTCACTCTATGATTGGCAGAGCGTATAATATCTTGTAAACTAATACATTTGATTGTGCCATATACATTCTGTAAACTGCAAAGATACTCACAGACCGTTGTTGGTCCTCCATTACGTAACAATTGGATAGAGACTGATGAAACACTGCTAGCTGGAATACGTCCTCTAGTTTTCTCCTCAACCCACTGGTATCAAAATACAGTTAAAAATGTAAAATGGTGTACTTAAGACTTTAATAGTATTTAACAGCTAATGAGGATAATGGAAAAGGATAGTTAGCTAAGACCTCTTGCAGGAATAAGCCTGTGTAATACAAGACATTTACAGTGTCAGGTTGAAAGATTTACACGTTGATTTATATTTTGTGGTCAAACAAAAGAGGTTTTGAAGTATAGTACTGATCAGAATCGGCAACATAATGTACATCTTCAATAGTGAAACGACCTCCTTGTAAGAAAAAAGGGCAAATGATCCAAGCATCCATTTCACCAAGTACTGAAACAACTGCATCTGGTTCCTATAAGAAAGAGGGAAAATCACCAATACATTCTAAAAAGTTCCTTAAGAAAAAGCTATCATAAAGTGTGTATACTCACCTCTGGAAAATGACCTCTTAATGTCGAATCACCACGTAACACCACTGTGTAATCGTTGTTTCCAACTGATTTTGCAGCAGTAATCAGGTTTTGAAAAATATATGTTATCAATGCACTAGCCTGCACGAAAAAGAATACTCAGTCTATTCTATACTGCATGAAAAAGAATATTATCGATGATGGATGTGGATGTGGATGTGGTGTACCTTATCTGAGCTTAAGGCGCGAGATTTTGTTAAAATGAAAAAGCATTTAGGTCTGCCTCTCAACAGTTGAGCCAGTGACTCCACGTTCCTGCAAAAGAAAATTACCAATAGATATGGAAATTGGAACATTGATGTGTTGGAAACTATAGGAAGATGTTACTTTAAAGTGATGTGTGAGATACTCACCATTCAGTCAAAACATCAACATCATGGACAGTTCGAGTCCCAGTTGGATCATTATCAAGAACAACCAAAGTCTTCAAGTTATTATCCATTTTGCGTATATCATCTAGTGGATCCACTGCCGATTTAGATGGAAGAGTTGCCATGGTAGTTGTTTTACTAATCACAGCAAGTTTTCCTTCTACTTTGACACCCTAGTCAAAATTAACATTAACTTCCATCGATCGAAAAGCAAAAAATCCCAGACAACACGAAATACCACAATTATGATAAAATTGACATCAAATCAATTAGAAACTTACGGTATCCGAAACTGACGTACGACCAGAGGCGATACTCTTCAAACTACGCATCACATTCATTATGATTGACTAAATCGCAACCCTAAATTCCCCCTTCTCTCCGAATCTCAAAACACTTATCCAAACCATTCTTCAACAAAAAAACAAAATCAACTAATGGAGGAGGAATCTGCGACATAGAACGCAATCCTCATCCACCTTCCTATTCTTCTCTCATAATGTAATCTGCAAAGTTGAGCAATCGTCGTAGTCTCCGACAAGGTCAGGTGAGCCCGAGGCCTAGTGACCGACGAGGAGAAGTCACCATGAGGTTGTTGGAGGAGAAGCCACCAAAGAGGTTGTCAGTAAGGCGATTCGAGGCAAGGTACTAAGATCGTTGATTGTTGCAGAGGCGAAGGAGAAATGAAAGCGTTTTCATTCTTCAAAAAAAGCCCTAGAATGGTCATGCGTTTTCGTGGAATTTATAGTACTTATATTTTAAGTTTCAGACGCGTGTTTGAAAAAATTATAAAGCGACATTGCAAGACGACACCCGTTTAAGATAGGTGCCCACCGTGTTATTAGTTTTTTTTGTTGGACACTATATTTAGGACACGTATAAATCCGCGTCCTTTATCCCTCAAATTTTCGAAACCTGACATTATTTTTAGGACACGCAAAAAATGCGTATCGTAAATCGGTGCGTCTCGTTGTTTGTGCGTCATTAAAGGGTTGTTTTCTAGTAGTGTGATATGGTGATCGTCGGCAATTGTGTATCCGACGAAAGCACTTTTAAAGTAGTGGCTTGTTTTTCCAATAGACACGTCAAATCGTAGTGATAATGCTATAGAAATGATGGAAATAAACAATCAAATTAGTTAAAACCCACAAAATATAACTAACTACTGAAAAAAACTATGTAAGGGTATACTTTGAATTACTACGTATTGGGTCTCAACTCCACATGAACATTGTTTCTCAGAGTAGCCTACTTTGTAATTGAGAGCTTTTCCTTATATCAATTTTGTCCGGGCTCTTATATGAATGTTCCTCTATTTTGTGTTCCTTATTCTTGCTCCAATCTATTCATTCTTTCTTCTGTCCAATGTTTCCGTTAAAGTTTATTTTAATTTCAATTTATTTACTTTCTCAAGGTTACCTATCTACTATCTCCTTATGGGTAGACCTGACTTGAATTACAATGCCAGTTAATAGACTACATGAGGGGGGTAAAAAAGTAACTTTCAATGTTATAAAATCGTTAATCAACAACTGATTATTAAGAAAAAGAAAAGAGTCTGGGGGTTTGTTGAGACCCATTACGTATCCCCATGTAAATACCCTCAAGTTTAATGATCTCAAACTAATCTCCTCATATTTCATTAAAGGAAACCACTTTCCACATTCCCAAACATGGATCATGGGCTTATCAACAACGACTACTTCTAATAGATTAAAGGTCGATGGGTAAAGAAAGGAGAAGGATATGAAATTAATGACCCTTAAAAGATGATGTAACCATGGAACAATTTGTAGTTGCTATAGTTGAACACCATTGTGTCTATGGTTAATGAAATACACTTGATAATTGTAAGTGTTTTATGTCACTAAAAACACATTAAAATCATGTAACATCATGTTAAACCGCTGTCGTGCACGATTTAAGCAAATAATATTTTCACTGCTTGGTTACACTAATGGGTAGCACAAGGAAGCAGGGCCGAATCCTCAGGGACACAACTGAATTGAAACATCCCAAAAATACAATTAAAAATTTTCTTTTTAAATTCATTAATAAAACCATAATTCAACCATCATCATATAGAAAAACCACAAATCGTGTAACTCAAAAACATCGTATCAAAATTATATAAAAATATCAGAGTCAATCTCCCAGGCTAGAAAACTGTGGTGTGTGCCATGCGATCATCCCACGCCCTTCCCTTTGCTAGCTGAAGTACCTGAAACCAAACTGAAAACTATAAGGACGAAGCTTAGTGAGTCTCCCTAAACTACCACATACCATTCATATAACATATAACATGTAACATAAACTTTGGGACACCGCCCAGCTGCATCGGGACGAACCCGACATCGGCTTACCCGACATCGGACTCCTGCCTGGCATCGGGCTCACCCCGACATCAGACCACGTCTGGCATCGGGCTCACCCCAAGATCAGGATTTCCCCGGCATATATACAGCATTACATATATCATAAACATATAACATAAGCATATAACATACATCGGGCTTACCCCGACATCGGACCGAAGCTCGGAACACATAACACATAACATATAAACTAACATTAATCGGGCTTTCCCCGACATCGGGCTTACCCCGGAACACATAACACATAACATATAAGCTAGCATGCATCGGGCTTTCCCCGACATCGGGCTTACCCCGGAACACATAACACATAACATGCATGAATCACAAAGACATCAAGCACATATATACTCTTCTCGGGACCTCCCGGCATCAGACCGTAGTTCGAAACTACTAACAACTAAACAGGCCGGCATTGTGGCCTTAGACCCATTCCTACTGGAGAAAACTCACCTCGCAAAGCTGTCTGCAAAAACTCGCGGTGACGAATATCTGATAGTTGCTCCAACGACTCCCCGACTATCAATATCACAATAATACTTAGTCAAAATCTGATAATCCTGCTCAGGGTAAAATGACCCTTTTACCCCTGGTCAAAGTCAACATCCTGGTCAAAGTCAAGGTCAAGGTCAACGCCAGTCAACCCCAACTCGGCGAGTTCATGTACAACTCAGACCCGTGGTCAACTAAGTCAACTTGTCGAATCCCTTCCCATACTCGTCGAGTTCTTCCTGTCATAACATCGGGACATATCGACTCTAACGCGTCAAGTCCCTCCTTGGACTCTTCGAGTTCTTCAGCTTTCGAGTCCTAAACTTTTCCAACTCACTGAGTCATCTCCTAAACTCAATGGTTTCACTCACAACTAGAAAAGGGGTTAGGGTTCACTACCCTACTCACCGAGTCCAAGAACAACTCGTCGAGTCCTCCATGTGACATATCCATTCAGTCGATTCTAATCCATTCCAATGCTTCCAACTTGTAGATCTGGACTCCTTAGACTAGCATTACATGTAAAGTTGCTAACTTTACGT